TGTAATCTTTTGTGTTCAGCTTCTCTCACTTAGCATAATGCTTTTAAGATTAATCTATGGTAAAAAAAGATTAATCTATGTTGACATATGTCAGCAATTTCTTTTTATTACATGAATGTATCGATATCTGTTGATCTGTCTACTAATGGGTAGATATTTCAGTTTCTAGGCATTGGTTATTATGGATAAAGCTGCCGTAAAGATTTTCCTACAGGTTTTTGTGTGGACGTATGTTTTCATTATCCCTGAGTAGATACCTAGAAGTGAGATTGCTGGGTCGTGTGGGAAATTCGTGTTTAACTTTATAAGAAACTGACAATAAATGTTTTCCAAAATTGAAAGTTCTGGTCTTTTCACATTTTCACCAGCATTTTGTATTATCTTTTTAAAAATTATTAAATCGGGACACCTGGGTGGCTCAGTGGTTGAGCACCTGCCTTCAGGCCAGGGCATGATCCTGGAGTCCTGGGATAGAGTCCCACATCAGGCTCCCTGCATGGAGCCTGCCTCTCTCTCCGCCTGTGTCTCTGCCTCTCTCTCTCTCTCTCTCTCTCTCTCTCTCTCGAATAAATAAATAAAATCTTTTAAAAAGTATTAAATCATTTTAGTAGGTGTGTTAGTTTCCTATTGCTGCTATAACAAACTGCCACAGATTCAGTGGCATTTACGTTTATTCTCTTCCAATTCTGGAGGCCAGAAGAACAAAATCAATTTCACCAAGCCCAAGTCAATGTGACAGCATGCCTGCTTCCTCCTGAAGCTCTAGGGAAGAATCGATTTCCTTGCCTTTTCCAGCTTGTGGTAGCTGCCTGTATTCCTTGGCTTATAGCCTCTTTCTTCCATCTTCAAAGGCAGCAGTGTGGCATCTTCAATTCTTTCTTTCTGTCCCTGTTTCTATCATCATATAACCTTTGTTCTGATTCCCTATCCCCCTTTTGTATGGACCAATATAATTATGTCAAGCATAACTAGATAATCCAGGATAATTGCCCCATTTCAGTTCAGGATCCTTAACTTAATCACATGGGCATGGTCCCTTCTGCCATATAAAGTAATAGTCACACATTCTGGGGATTAAGATGCAGACATATTTGAGGATTCATGGTCCCTTCTACCGGTATGTAGTGGTATCTCCCTAGTCTGAATTTGCATTTCCCTCGTAACTAATGATGTTGTGCAACATTTTCTGAGTTTAATGGCCATTCTTATATCTTTTTAGTGAAGTATCTGATTAAATCTTTTGCCCATTTAAAAAAATAGAGTGTTTGGTATAGTACAACAGAACTTTTTGAAAGTTCTTTGTCTATTCTGGATACAAATCCTTTATCAGATACACACTTTTCACATTTTTCTTCCTGTCTTTTCACACTCCTAAAACTGTCACTTGATGAGTGGAAGTTTTTCATTTTGATGAAGTCCGAGTTAAACATTTCTTTTACAGACAGTGCTTTTGGTGTCGTATTTAAGAAATCTTTGTATAACCCAAGGCGTCAAAGATTTTCTCATATGCTTTCTTCAGAAGGTTCAATGCTTAAGCTTTTACATTTAGTTCTATGGTCCATTTTAAGTTTTTTTTTTAATAATGTGAGGTATGACTCAAAGTCCAAATTATTTTGCACATGGCTAGCCAATTATTCCAGTACTATGTGTTGGGAGAGGTTCATCCTTTGTCCATCGAATTGTCTTTGCATCTATGTTCAAGATAAGTTGTCTATATACATGGGTTGGTCTCTTCCACCTATCTCTTCCACTCTCTTCTTTTATTATTTTTATTTTTTCTTTCTTCTTATATTGAAGTATAATTGATATACAATGTTACATTAGTTTCAAGTATAAAAAATATTGATTTGGCAATTCTATGCACTCAATGCTCACACCATGGTAAGTATAGGCACCATCTGTCATCATAAAGCATTATTACGTTATTATTGCCTGTATGCCCTATGCTGTACATTTCATCTTTGTGACTTACTTTATAACCAAAAGTTTGTACCTCTTAATCCCCTTTATCTATCTTGCCCCCCACCGTGATCTATTTCTTTCTTGATGCCAATACTACACTGTCTTGATTATTGTGGATTTATAAATATAAGTCTTGAAATCAGGTAATGTGAGTTCTCCAACTTTGTTCTTTTTCAAAGAAATTCTGGTTATTAAATACCCTTTATATTTTCATATGAATTCTAGAATGAGTTGTCAAATTGTAAAATCAAGCTGACCATGATATTTAGAGATCGCGTTGAGCCTATACATCAATATGGTGAGAATTAACATCCTAAACAATATTGAGTCTTAACATTTACCCATAAAAAAAGTTTATACTTCCATTTACTTAGAGCTTTTAAAATTACTTTCAGCAATACTTTGTAGTTTGCAGTGAACAACTCCTGCATATTTTTGTCAGATTTATCCTTAAGTATTAATATTTTTGATGCTATTAGAAATGGTTTTGCTTTTTAAATTTCAATTTCTGATTATTCATTGCTACTAAGAAGTACAACTGACTTTTGGATCTTGCATCCTGCAGCCCTGCTCAGCTTTTTGGTTTTAAAAATCTTTTTGTAGATTCCATTGACTTTCCCTATACAGGAGTGCCTGGTAGGCTCAGTCAGTAAAGCATGAGACTCTTGATCTGGGGGTTGTAATTTCAAGCCCTATGCTGGGTATAGTAGAGATATAAAGATTACAAATAAAATCTTAAAAAAAAAAAAAAGATTTGCCAGGGACATCTGGGTGGCTCAGTGGTTGAGTGTCTGCTTTCAGCTCAGGGAGTGATCCTGGGTCCTGGGATCAAGTCCCACAATGGACCCCCCCGCAGGGAGTAGGCTTTTCCCTCTGCCTATGTCTCTGCCCCTCTGTGTCTCTGATGAATAAATAAAACCTTTAAAAAATTGCCTATATAGAAGATTGTGTTTGCTGCAAATAAAAGTGGCTGTACTTCTTCCTTACCAATCTAGATGTTTTTCTTTTGCTTGCCTTATACCACTGATTTGTTTTTTTTTTTTAAATAGATTATATGTATGACTAATTCCATCAGAGATGTTTTAGGGATTACGCTCTATGCAAATACTTTCATCTTCCAAATGCCTTTGCCTCACTCAAAATTAAATGCTAGATTAAAGGGTTATAGGATTACAATTCTAGTTCCTTTTACTTTAGAAATCTGAGGATACTCTTTTCCGGTTACTGCGGCGCGAGTTACCATGAGCAGCAAAGTCTCCCGCGACACCCTGTACGAGGCGGTGCGGGAGGTCCTGCACGGGAACCAGCGCAAGCGCCGGAAGTTTCTGGAGACCGTGGAGCTGCAGATCAGCCTGAAGAACTATGACCCTCAGAAGGACAAACGCTTCTCGGGCACCGTCAGGCTTAAGTCCACCCCCCGCCCCAAGTTCTCTGTGTGTGTTTTGGGGGACCAGCAACACTGTGATGAGGCCAAGGCAGTGGACATTCCCCACATGGACATTGAAGCGCTGAAGAAACTCAACAAGAATAAAAAACTAGTCAAGAAGCTGGCCAAGAAGTATGATGCCTTTTTGGCTTCAGAATCTCTGATCAAGCAGATTCCACGAATCCTGGGTCCAGGCCTGAATAAAGCTGGCAAGTTCCCTTCCTTGCTGACCCACAATGAGAACATGGTGGCCAAAGTGGATGAAGTGAAGTCCACCATCAAATTCCAGATGAAGAAGGTAAGAAGGTCTGAGTGGGTTGCAGAGATTAAGCTTTGGTGATGGTGGCACCACCAGTCCCAAAGTTCATCCATGTTCTCTGAATGGGAGTCCCGGCTCACATTTCTACAGATACGTAGGATATGTGACAGTCACTGAGCAGGGTTGAAGCTTTCCACGTGCCTGTGGTTTTCCTGGCCTGGGGTCCGGGTACTGTTCACTAGGTCATCGGGAGTGGGGAGGGATGGGTCATTTGGCTTCTAGATGTGCCTACTCTGACTCTTCCGTTTGGCCGCCGGCCTGATTTGACTGGACTCTCTCACAGGTGCTATGTCTGGCAGTGGCTGTTGGCCACGTGAAGATGACGGACGATGAGCTTGTGTACAACATCCACTTAGCTGTCAATTTCCTGGTGTCCTTGCTCAAGAAGAATTGGCAGAACGTCCGGGCTTTGTACATCAAGAGCACAATGGGCAAACCCCAGCGCCTTTACTAAGACCGTTTAATAAAAAAATCCTAGTGCTACCAAAAAAAAAAAAAAAAAAAAGAAATCTGAGGATATTGCTCCACACTATCTTCTAGAATCCAGTGCTGTTGCTGAGAGGCTGATGTCAGCCTTACCCTCCTGTTTTCCCTGGCATTCCTGATTACCCAACATCCACTCAACTCCATTTTGCAACAGAACCTTGATTTTGTATCCATGTCCATATTGCACCCAACTCCTAAGTAGCAGAGAGAAGGAAGAAATTTTTTTTTTTTTTATGAAGTCACTGAACTACTCATTCTGCTGGAACTAGAGTCTGACCCAATACTTTGTTATGCCTTTATCATTTAAGACCATTGAAGCAGTCCCATCTTCTATTACATATAGCAAAGGACACATAGGTAATCTTTTATTTCGTTTTTATATACTGGTAGCTCCTAAGATTTTCTATTTATCCTTAAGAATTCTGAAATTTCATTCAGGATATATTTTTTGTAGGCCCCCCCCGCCCGAGCCCAACCCCATCATTATGTCCAACCTTATATTCTATTTAATCTGAAGACCCAAGCCTTCTTCAGCTCGAATGGTTCCATATCTTTATCTGTAATCTATTTGTGATTTTTCCACCTCTTCATTTCCTGGTTTCTTCTTCTGAATCTATTAGATGGATTTTGGATCTCAGGGCACACTGCTGCATGCCTTCTAAGATTTTCTCTCAATTTCTTGAGTTCTGATGGTATTTTCTAGAGCTTAGGGGATCTATTCCTCTGAAAAGTAAGTATGTATGTGTTTTTGTTACTTTAAGGACTATTAAGAGAAAAAAAACAAGGCAATTATGTGTACTCGTTCTATCACTTTATTTATACTTTACAAATCTCAATGTTATATTGTTTTGCCAATAATAGTTCATTACTGTTACATCTTTATTTTGTATCGTCATTATTTTTATCATGGTAAAAGTCACATAACACAAAATTTACCATTTTAGCCATTTTTAAATATACAGTACAGGAGTACTAAGTACATTCACATTGTTGTACACCATCACTGCCATCCATTTCCAGAACTTTTTCATCATCCAAACTGCAACTATATACCCATTAAACAATAAATTCTCATTCATCTCTTCCCCCCCAAACCCCTAGTAACCCTTTTTCTACTTTCTATGAATCTATTTTAAATACCTCATATAAGCAGAATCACAAAATATTTGTGTGCTTTGAGTCTGCCTTATTTTACTTGGCATGTCTTCGAGATCCATCCACTTTGGAGCATGTGTCTGAAATTCTTTCCTTTATATGGCTGAATGATTTTCCATTGTACACATACACATTATGTTTATAAACATACTATGTATGCGGTATATACATATACAGTTTGTCTGTTGACACTGGCTTGTTTCCATCTTTCGGTTACTGTAAATAATGCTGCTATTAACACTGAACAAATACAATTTTAAACCATCGTTTTCAAATCCATTGGGAATATACCCAAAAGAGGAATTGCTGGATCATATAGTAATCCTATTTTTAATTTGTTTGAAGAAAATACTATTTTCCGTATCTTCTGCACCATTTTACATTCCCATTTATATTCAATCCATAGCAATGGATTCCAATTTCTCCATGTCCTCACCAATGCTTGTTTGCTGCATTGTACTGTCCTGTTTTGTTTTGATAGCAGACATACTAATGGATGTGAAGTGCTATCTCAATGTGGTTTTGATTTGTATTTCTCTAATGGTTAGTGATTGTATTATCTTTTACCAATAAAAAACAACTCATTTTGTCTAATTTAATTATCTGTATATTGAAATGATCTTTGTCTAATTGTAACTGTGAAAGGAAAAACCTGAAAGTCATTCCTATCAGGACAGCACATTTAAAATGAAATGGGTGGGAGGATGATGGAGGGGGGCATTAAGGACATGGGGCCTACGCACTCTCACCTCTATGCAAAACACAATACTTTAAATATAGCCCACCTCCAAACCAAAGTATCCTGCTTCTTGCAGCCCCAGATGGCAAGCTGTGAACTCAACAGAAATTAGACTCTTTATGCCAATTATAATTTTGCAAAATTTATGTAAACCTTCTTGGAATTCCCCTTTTTGCTTTTAAAAGCCCTCTGCTTCCCATGTCCCCGAGAGCAGAGCACTATTTGGGTTTTCTCTCAAATCTGTCTCTCAAGTTGTAATTCCTAAGACCTCCAAATACAAGTGTTTGCCTTGCATCCTTTTTGCAATTTTTGTTTGACATAACACCGTGATCCCAGATTTTTTTCCCTATTGTTTTCCTGGCATAATTTAGTTCATCTCTTTGTTTTCTACCTTCAAATACCCTTTAGTTTTTCGTTCTGTTTTGTAAGCTGTATTGCTGGTTATTTTAAAAGATCATTCATCCCTCATGCAGCACATATCCTTTGGTTTGTACAGTACCAGTCACTGAGGATGCAGTTTGGAAGGGGGTTATAGTCAATGCTAGAAAACAAACTTTACAATTCAAAGGAGCCGTTTTAGGGGCACCAGGATGGCTCAGCGGGTTAAGCGGCTGCCTTTAGCTCCTGTCAGGATCTCAGGGTCCTGAAATAGAGCCCTGCATGCGGCTCCCTGCTCGGCGGCAGAGTCTCTTCCTCTGCTGCTCCCTCCTGCTCATGCTGTCTCAAACAAGGAAAATCTTAAAAATAAATAAAGGAGCCATTTTAAAAAGAAGTAATGACTGTTGTGAAAAGGTAGATGCTGGGTTTATGCTTTTGTTTTTACCCAATGTGAATGTCAGTGTGCAGGTTACGACATGTAGACGTAATTTTTTTGAAATGCAAAAATTCGTAAAAAAAAAAAAAAAAGGTTAACAGCTGAGAACAAAAACCCCCAATAATTACACAGCAACAGCTATCAAACAAGATGTCAAGGGAGCAAAACTAAAATTTCAGTCAGGCCGAAAGATCGCAAGAAACCAAAGCGGGCAGCACAGCCTGGGGCGACAAGCCTGCCCGGATCCAGCACGATTCGCAGAAAGACGCTGCAGCACGTCCCGCCGCGCTCTCAAGGGGGGGCCACACCCCGAGGCTGCCCAGAGGAGCGAGGCCGCTCGGCTCCTGAAGCCTGGGACCCGAGTCTGACCAGCCTCGGTCAACGGCACAAGACTTGCGGTTTTTGCCTCTGAGCCTGCGCCGAAATCTCCCCCTCCGGACAGTACTTTCGGTCCCGGGTTCGCAAACAGCCGGCAACGAGGCCTCCCCCGCCGTGGGTCACATCTTGGCATTCCAGGAACTTTTGCTGACACACTGCACTCACCAACCAAGAACAAGCAGCAGCGAGCGGCTAATTCTCCATGTTTTTAAATACATACTCACTTTTCCCAAAAAGGGCGCCCGAGCGGATACGCGGTGAGACACACAGAACCGGGCCTCGCGCCGCCTCCGGCTCCCCGCAAGACGGCTTTCGCCAGCCTCGCCGCGGTTGGCCCTTTTCGGACCCCGTAAGCCGCCGTCGCGTGACGCTGTCTGGGATAGAGAGTCCGAAAGGAAAAGCTCCGCGGTTCGGCCGAGGTGCCCGGTTGGTCTCTCGTGCGCAGGCGCAGTTGCGCCCGGCGGCCTGGCGGCGGCGGCGGAGGCGAAAAATGTCTCGGGGCTAGGTGTCCTGCTCGTCTCCGGGGCGCTCCGCCGCTTGGAGTCCGCCGTGGCGGCGGGCCCAGGTACAGGCTGCCAGGGAGAGCGGGCCCGGGTTGTGCCGCTCCTGCGGCGGGGCCAGGGCAGAGGGCCGGCCGCCGCGCGAGCCCCAGCCGCGCGTCCGGGTTGCGGGCGCCCGATGCGAGCTGCGGCGGCCTCGGCAGGTGAAGGCGGCCGGCGGCGGGGGCGGTGCCCCGGGGAGGTCTCGGCGCCCGCGGCCCCGCAGCCCCGGAAATGCGAGCTGTCAGCGCCAGCCTCGGGCAGGGCTCCTGGAGCCGCGGCCTGGGGACCGAGATGCAGGGAGCTCTGCCTTGTGGGAGGCTTCGTGGGCCCTGGGGCGGTATTTGGCTGGGAGCGGTTGCGGGTCGGCCCCCGCCCCCGCCCCACCCCCACCCCCACCCCCGCCCCCGCCGCGCCCCGAGTTTCCACTTTATGTTGCTCAGTTTTTGCCATCCTTGCTTATGTGGCACTCCCCTCCCAGAGCGAGTCCTAAGGTGATTTGACTATCACGTTTTTTGTTTGTTTATTTAGATTATTTTTGTCCTTTGGCTGAATTACTTCCCTTTTCTCTAAATTTAAAATTCAGAGCGAGCCGCTGATGCTCTTTCTTGTGAGCCTTGTGGGGCTTTTTGGAGCCGGGAGAGGACGGGTAATGTCTTTGTTTCTATTAAGGAGGTTTGGGAACTCTTTCTTCATAAAGGAAGCGCAATTTCCAAGGGGAAGAGGGACCTAATTTGTGGTTGGCTCTTCCTGAAAAGGACACCAATTTCCTATAGAATAGAATTAGTATGACTTTCGTGTTATATTTTGTTGTGCATTATATATAGCTATATACTAGGTTAGATACAGTATAATTGTAATAGAGCTCAAAATATTTAAATGCAGATGTGTGGAATATTTATGCTCACTTTCATTAAATATCTCTGTGAGCGCAACGTGACTGCCCTTTACTCTGTACATCAGAGTACATGTAATGTTCTAATGTACATCAGATGGTTGGTTCTCATCCCTTAGTCTGATTTACTTTTATTCATGAACCACTGGCTGAAAGGTAGTAGGCCCAGCGACTGGAAGTAAGCTTGCTGCCCACTCCTGGTTTTGGTGGCCGTGCCCACGGACCCTCTAATTCCGGAATCCCTGGGCTTCTAGGCTCCCTCTGGCTTCCCTTTGCAGCATGCTCAGTGTGTGGGATCTCTAAGTTAGGCCTCACGAAGGTGGCAGTACAGACAGGATGGACAGACTGCTCACAGTTTTCTTTCTCCATATCAGGTGCCTTTCCCAGGAGGGGCAGGAGAGAGGAAGAGATGGCCACAAGGTTGCTGCCGGTCCATGCTCAGGTGAGTGAAGGCTTCTTTCTTCAACTGTCCTCCTGGTTTGGAGATCGTGAACATGCTGAGGCCATTGTTGAGCTTTACGAGGCAGGGGGCCTGGTCAGGTAACTCTGGAAGGAAGCTGTTTCTCTGGTGCCAGGGCCAGTCTCATTGGGAATTCCTTACTTAAACTTGTTGATTAGGAATTCAATGTCCTGTGCCAGAGCTATACACAGAGCTTTGTGAGGGATCTAGATGTGTTTTTTCCCCTGTGAAGGGTAGAAAGTTGGGGGAGTCCGATAATTCTTTTCATAACATTAGGAATTCAAAGAGAAGATGTAAGGCGCTCTCAAGAAATTAAGGGCCAATCAACTGGAGTTGTAGTTGGTAGGAGTCCAGGTGACTTTCTAGGAAGGTCCAAGAAAGAAGACCTCTGAATCAGCAAAGTGTGGTCAGGGATGCTTCTAGTACAGTTGACTCTTGAGCGATGCAGGGTTTAAGTGTTGCGGGGTGAACTGGGAAGGCCCTGGGGTCTCGACCCAGCCTGTCCTAAAGGAATTGCTGATGGTTCTTGGTCTTGCCTCGAGAAAGAATTCAAGGATGGACACACAACACAGCAGGTGAGGGACACAGCAGGAAAGCTTATTAAAGCTAAAAGTTTACTCTCAAGATACGAGAACAGATGAGCTTGAGAGAGAGAGCTTTGTGCCCTGGGGTTTGAGTTTTCTATCTTTTATTGACAGTTGCTAACCAGAGGGTAGAATATCCATTACTTGGGGCACAAATGCAGGGTTTCAGCTTTTTCTTCCTAACGTGGTCAGGAGTTTCCTGTCCTGGTATCAGCCGTCGTGGGCCTCTGTGGTTTGATCCAGCTTCTTGTGGAGAGCTACCAGGACAGCTTCTGACCTCCCCAATAGCTGGTCACAACTTCCTCATTGTTGGCCCCCAGGTGTCCACTTGAACCTAACTCACTGCCTGCTCTAACATAAGGGTGCAGGCTCTGACCCCTCTGCCCCCACCCACCAGTCAGAAATCCACATATAACTTTTTTTAAGTTTTTATTTGAATTCTAGTTAGTTATCATATATCATATATCTAGTAATACCAGTTTCAGGAGTAGAATTCAGTGATTCATCACTTACATACAACACCCAGTGCTCATGCTCATCACAAGTGCCTGCCTTAATGCCTGTCCCCCATCTAACTCATCCCCTGCACACCTCCCTCTATCACTCCTCAGTTTATTCTCAGTGGCTAAGAGTCTCTTATGGTTTGCCTCCCCCTCTTTTTTTTCCTTCCTTTCCCCTATGTTCATCTATTTTGTTTCTTAAATTCTACATATGAGTGAAATCAAATGGTATTTGTCTTTCTCTAACTCACTGACTTTGTTTAGCATAATGTATTCTAGCTCCATCGACATCATGGCAAATGAAAAATCCACGTAAAACTTTGACTCCTCCAAAAACTTCACTACATAATAGCCTACTGTTACCAGTAATGGTCAACTAACACATATTTTGTGTGGTATATGTATTCTATGCTGTATTTTTACAATAAAGCAAGGTAGAGAGAAGATGTCATTAAGAAAGTTGAAGACAAAAAAATATGTTTACAGTAGTGTATTTATCAAAAGAAAATCTATATGTATTTGGACCTACACAGTTCAAAACCATGTTGTTCAAGGGTCAACTGTATTGGAAGACTGGGGCCTTTGAGCAGGACCCAGCTCATAGAGCTGGTGTAAGGAAAAGGAGTCGCAACTGGACAGTGGTCTCAGGACAGATTGAGGGAAATGAAGCATCTAGTCCACTGTGTTTTCTTCCCTTCTTGACCCTTTCATGGCACTTAGGGAAATAGAATGAAAACCCCGAAACCTCTCCACAAAGGCAGAAGAGAAAGAAAAACGCTTTTAACACTAAATAAGGTTTAATGAGCGTTAGGCCAGAATGTCATGTACAACGCCAGCCATCCACTGAGGAGATGGCAGAGAGAGACGGCTCCCTCGCAGGTTGAGTGGCTCCAACCCAGTTTGGACATTGGTCAGATGACCAGTTAGGCCGCCTCCTCCCAGGAGACTGAGGGGTAGGCACATTCAAAGAGATGAATCTCCAAGGAAGATGTGCTGAGCTGCGAGCCTGGCAGGTGACTTACTGAGCTATTGAAGACTTGCAGTACCCCCGCCCCCATCCATGGTTTCCCTTCCAGCGGTTCCAGTTACCAGGTGATCCTCCTTCTTACCTCTCTGTAGAAGGTCAGGGGCAGCCGAAGGCGGTGTCACAGAGCCTGCATCATTCGCCTCACTGCACTTCACCCTGCCTGGTGTGGGCACTTTACCCTCTCATTCTGGAACCACACCAGCCGAATTTGGTCCTTGCTGAGCCACAGATAGAAACCCCACCAGGTGAGCTGGGGCACAAAGGAAGTTTTATTTGCAGCAGATGAGATCATCACCGGGAATGGCTTCCAAAGACTTGACTCCCTGAGCCAGGTGGATGGTTTCTTTTTACTTAGAGTTAAGATGAATATTTAGAAAGAGGGATCCTTGTTTCTGTATGTAAGGGTGGGCATAGATTGTGCACGTGCCTTAAGGAAACACGTCTAAACACACTGTAGTGCATGTTTTATAAATGAGGCCTGGGCTCCGCCTTGGGCGGAGTTTGTAGTATTATAATGAGGTAGAGGTAAAGGTCTGTCATTCCAGGGGTCACTCCATGGTCCATCTGCACAGGCTGGGGGGGGCGGGGGTTACACTCAAACTGGTCTGGGTGGTCTGGGCTGGCTCTGGAGGTCTTGTCAGGATAGTCACTACTGCTGGAGGGGCTGTTTCATTTTTCTATTTGCCCAAGTTAAGAAAGAAGCTGGAAAGAAGAGCTTAAGGAAGAAGGTGGGGCAAAGATCGGTGAGTCCAAGCAGGTGGGCAGTCAAGGTTGGGTCTTGGGGTCTAGCTGGTGACACTATTATGAGCAGAAGAAAGGTAGGTACAACACAGTAAGATGTTATGAGAGGGAGAGACCACATTCACATAAATTTTGCTACAGTGTATTGTCATAATTGTTCTATTATTAATTGTTAATCTCTTACTGTGCCTGATTTATAAGTTAAACTTTATCAGAGGTTTGTATTTATAGGAAAAAACAGTACATATAGGGTACGGTACTATCCAAGTTTTAGGCATTCTGGGGGGTGGGTGGGTCCTTAGAATACCCCCCCACCCCCACCGGGGACGTGTGGACAACATTTGGAAAGGACAGAGACTCACCTTGCGATGCCCACAACCCTGCGTGGTGACAGGGTTGCTGCACAGCCGTCCCCGCGGGGGGATGGTCCAGGTGAGCAAGAATGGGTTTGCTGTTGCAGGAGTCTGTGACATTCAGGGATGTGGCCGTATTCTTCAGCCAGGACGAGTGGCTGCACCTGGACTCTGCACAGAGAATGTTGTACCGGGAGGTGATGCTGGAGAACTATGGCACCCTGGTCTCGCTGGGTAAGGACATCTGCCGGGGGAGTGTCGTGGTGCCCTCTTCAAGGAGGACAATTGGAGGGCTTGTCCAGGTTCACCGCACAGGTGGGCTCAGAGAGTGGCAGTTGCTGTTCCCCTCTACTGCTGGGAAAGGTCTTGGTTTGGTGGAGTCGGTGCTGGGCAGCCTGTGTGTGCTTTTGCTGGTTTTTGCCCCAAAACTCTTCTGGGTCTCACAAGAGGGTTCCAAATTAGAGGCACACACAGCCAGTGCCCTGACTTTCCTCCTGAGACCCCCATCCTGTAGGAGCGTCATTTAAGCCCCTCTCTGAACAAACGTCTCTTTCCTTCAGCTGTCCCTCTGCCACAAAGGCCCTGGTGCTGGATCCATGTGTCAGGGTAGCTGCTCATGTCTGCAGCACGGACTCATTCTCTTCTTCTTGCTCACAAACAGGAATTCTGTTTTCCAAACCAAAGGTTATTTTCCAGTTACAGCAAGGGGAAGACCCCTGGATGGTGGAAAATGGAGTTTCTCAAAGCCCCTGTGTAGGTGAGTGCCCGTGATTGGAAAGCGGGCAGAGCATTTTCTCACTGCCTGGGTGCTGCTTGATCAGCGAAGAGCCTGTGCTCAGGAGACATTGAGCAGGGCCCTCCTAGAGTACCAGGCCAGGTGGGAAACAGTGGGAAGGACATATCCTCCCTCTACCTTTTCGAGTTCTTTGATTGGGCAGGTTCAGAGGGAGAGTTGAATTCTCTCAGGAAGGGCCCACTTGTCTCTGTTGTCCTATGTAGTGTGAATGCAGAAAATGTAACACCATATGTAATGCATAAAGGTTTGTGAGTCATGTCATCCCCCATTTTTCTTGCTTTTGCTGGATCAATTATTTTTCTAAATTATCCTCCCTTTGTGGTTTGAACAAACCTTCTATCACTACAGTACATCCCTCATTGTTCCATCTTGGGTTTTTGTTTGGCTTTTTTGGTCTGCAACTTATGTATGATTCAGCTAAAAAAAGATCTATGTGTATTTATATACTACATAAGAGTGAGAAAGCAAGGGTAGCAAAATGGTGATAAATTTATGCAGAAGGTTTGCAGGTATTCAACAGGGCATTGTACTAAATATTTTGTGTGAAAATATTCAAAATAATGTGTTCCAGACCCTGACTGCTAGGACATACCTCTCAGTCTCTAAAACTCTTCTGGGTTACTGGGTCAGTAAGCTCTCATTTGCTGTTCTGCTTTTTTTGGTGGTGGTGTTGTCATTCTGGTTTTGTGTTTTGGTTTGTTTTGTCTTTGATTCTAGCACCAGAGTGTGGCTCTCTCCTTCGAGTTTTGCTGCTTACCCAGTCTTCCTCTCGGTGGCAGGACACAGGCTTTCTGGGTTAGCTCAGTCAGGTGTTTCCATTCATGAGCTTTAGCTTCAGATTCTCCTCTTTGGTTTGACTGGAGTATTTTCTTGAATAAAGTTTTCACAAAGGTTCGTGTATGCTCTATTTGGGCATGTCTAAAATCAGTTCTTTGACCTCTCCAGTGAGAATTATGGGTCTAGCAAACTGCCATCAATATTTCTTTCCTTCACACTTGGCTCTCGTGTCATTGATAAAAAGTCTTGTATTAGCTTGATTCTTTTTCCTCTACTGAATAGAAATCCGGTTCCCCCTCCTTTTTTTGTCTTCTGTCTAGAGTAGTATAGGGTATTTTCTTTACCTTTGGAATTCAAGGTTTTTTTTTTTAAGAGATCTTATTTATTTATTCATGATAGAGAGAGAGAGAGAGAGAGAGAGAGAGAGAGAGGCAGAGACACAGGCAGAGGGAGAAGCAGGCTCCATTACCGGGAGCCCAACGTGGGACACGATCCCGGGACTCCAGGATCACGCCCTGGGCCGAAGGCAGGCGCTAAACCGCTGAGCCACCCAGGGATCCCCTACCTTTGGAATTCAGAAGATTCATTAGGTTGTATCAAGGAGTTTGTTTTAATATTGTAATTTGGCATCACAGGGCCCTTTGCTTTGAAGAGCCAAGTCTTTTTTTTCACTCCAGAGATCTTTTTTTCTACCACATACTAATATTTTATACCATATTCCACCAACAATTCAAGGCACCTAAGTGTAAGAATAATGATAAAATAAAATAGAAGTTCAGTCAGAACCTTAGAAAGTGACTATGTCTGTGGTAAGGGCCACCATGGTAGCCATGGATGAATTTCAGATTTGGCTCAGAGTTTTCTGCTTGGTAAAGAAATCATTAGTATCAGATACACTGTGTTCTTCTTTTGCAAGCATTTTTTAAAACTTTGACTACTTTTAGTTTATGTAAGATGTATGTGGTGTTATAAAAAAAGAGCAAAAAAGGAGATTGACCTGAAGTTTTGTTAACCAACCATGATGAACCTTTGCTGATATTTTACTTTTTATCCTCCCAGATTGTGAATATTTACTTGACTGTATTTGTACATGAGGGAAAGGGAGAGATGGAGAGGTTGATTATACATGTTGTTGTCAAATCTGTTTAAATTGTGAATGCCCTCGAGTTATTCAGCTCTCATTAAGTAGAGACCTAGCTTTTTGAAAGAGCTCTATTGTATTGGTAAGCCGTATTTTATTAAATAATCTTTTGCACTTTCATAATCTTTTAGTTTCTAGTTTTTTGTATTAAGATTCCTGTAGTGGCTATAGAAAATGAAGGTATAATATAAAGAGAAACAGAGAAAAGGTCCAGAGAGTAAATAATTACAGCACAAAGGCATGAGTTTTATCATTAAAAAGTCAAGGAATGTGAATTGAAAAAGTTTACCCAGGATTCTTTGAAAAACTATTTAACTTCATATAATTAATGATATACAAACTAAAACAATGAGATATCATTTTCCCCTTATTACCTCAAATTAATAAATACACATCCAGTGTTTTCTTACTGCTCCGAGTGATACCTGAGTATCTTTCATCAGATTTTGATGGGTGTTGTCTTTCTACAGGATGGTCTGACTTTATTAAAATTGATTTCAGGTCTGGAAATTTATCTTAAGGAAATAATTAATTTCATGATTGTGCAGAGTTGCAAAGGTGGTATAAATAATGTTATAACATGAGGGATCATTGGAGAGAAGAAAGCTAAGTGATTCTTAGAGGGGATTTATTAAATTACTATTATGTTTGTGTTTTGAAATCTTACATTGCCATTAAAACAATAGTGTCAGCCTTCATTTATTGCCATAAAGAGAAACCCACAATTTTTTAAGTGAAGAGTGGGTAATGGGAAGTTTAGTTTCAACCTATTTTTTAAAGTGTTTTCTTATATCCAGAAAAATTCTGCTGAGCTAAATTCCACATCTAGCAATGATTATATTTGTGTATTTTGTGTATGGGTGAACTCAACTTTCATGTTTATAGTTTTCTGTATTTTTCTTACAATGATTATATATCTCCTTTTTAGTTAAGAAAATAAAAACTCTTTCATAACATACATTCATTCATTTTGAAGCAGTGATACCATTCCTTGCACTGTATCCTAAGTGGTCAAAAAGTGGGCTGAAAATTATCCTCAGGAGTGCATTTTCCCCCACCATGTTCCCCATACTGTTATATGACCTCAGTCTCTATTAGGCTGCCCAGACCAGAAGCTGGACATCAGCCGTGAGTCCTCTCTTTGATGTATGCTGTATGTCCTATTCATAGGTGAAAGTACTTATCATCTCTGCCTTCAGAACATCACAAATGTGCCCCCCTCTACTGCTGTGCCAGTGCAGATCACTATCACCCCATCCAGTCTCCTCAGTGGCTGCTCAACGTCTGCCCTTGTTTCTCCCCACCCTCAATTACAGTCCATTTGTCACACCATCGTGAGCCTCTTTAAACAAAACTGTCCTGTGCCTCCTAACCCGCAGTGATCCTCCAAAGAAATTCCAGATATCTTCCCATAGCTTACAAGACCCCACATGATACAGCTCCTGCCTACTTCTTTTCCTCACCTCAAAACACTGTCTTCTTCCCTCTTGTTCAGGCCACAGTGGACAAATCTGTGTTCCTGGAACATTCAAAGCTTACTCTTACCTTAGCTGTTCTTTCTGACTGGAATCCTCCTCACACCCACATTTTTACATGGCCAGCTCTTGTTAATTAGATCCCATTTTAATTTTATTTCCTTATCACCCAGTTTAAAACATCATCTTGTTTACTCATAGTGTACATTACCTTGTTTTTGTTGATTTTCTTTGTCATCCCTAGTTTCTTTGGTCGTTTAGTCATTGTCAATACCCTGCTGCTAGAACGTAGACCTTGCAAAAACTGGATTCCTGTCTGATATGTTCGCCATAATCCTGATCTTGACCTTTGCATGGTGTCTACTCAGTAAAGAGTGCTTGAATGAGTAAGTGTCCATTATGACACCATGTACAGCACTCACAGGAGTTCCAAAACAGCACTGATTGAGGCTGTGGGTTTCAGAGAGCTTTTTAAGGCCAGTGGCTCTTCCAGTTTCTATTTAGAACCTCTTTGCAGTTTTCCCGTGGATTGACCTTGACTGCACTGGTGAGTGATGTGGGAGAGATTGCTGAGGAACAAAGCAACCTGCTGTACTTGGAAGTGCTCTGTACCCTGCTGATGTGAGCTTTGTTACTAGAGCAGGCCTGGCTGCTGTCATTGGAGGAGCTTCCCTCTGAGCTTACCTGTGTACAGGTTTCCGTGGACCCCCTTCACCCAGGCATGTCTCCCATCCTGCTTCTTTCTCTTGCCCTCCTTTCTCCTCACCCTATCCTAAAAATCCAAGGATGTATTTGTTAGCGATGCTTGTATATTTCTGTGTCCTTTTTCTTTATTCTCAGTGCAAGGGAGACTTAACCTGTTTTGTTTATTTTAGGATGGGAGAACTTGTTTGAAACCACAGTTTCTGAAGAAGAAAATCAGGAAGTAATGAATAAACTTCTAGGTGACAGTTTTTTTGACTTCAAGTTGGGGAAAGCCTACATAAATGAGAACAAGCTAGAAAAACAACAAGGCAAAAAGAACAAGCCTTTTAGGAAAGTCTTGGTCACCATCAAAAACACCTACATCAGGGAGAGGAGCTTTGCAAGTATTGAGCTTGGGAAAAATTTCAATCTGAAACCATCCCTTATTAGAAAACCCAGACTCATTACCAGAGGAAGGAAACCCCACTCACAGCACTATTCAGTTCTGTTTAAACAGCTGGGAGTCAATACAGTACGCAAATGTTACAAATGTAACATCTGTGGGAAAATCTTCCTCCACAGTTCTTCCCTGAGCAAACACCAGAGAATCCACACTGGAGAGAAGCTCTACAAATGCAAGGAATGTCGGAAAGCTTTCAGCCAAAGCTCATCTCTCACTCAGCACCTGAGAGTTCACACAGGAGAGAAACCTTACATATGCAGTGAATGTGGGAAAGCCTTCAGTTTCACCACATCACTCATCGGACATCAGAGGATGCACACTGGAGAGAGACCCTACAGATGTAATGAGTGTGGCAAGACATTTAAAGGAAGTTCATCTCTGAATAATCACCAACGAATTCATACTGGAGAAAAGCCCTATAAATGCAACGAGTGTGGGAGAGCCTTCAGCCAGTGCTCTTCTCTTATTCAACATCACAGGATTCATACTGGAGAGAAACCCTATGAATGCAGTCAGTGTGGGAAAGCCTTTACATCTATATCACGGCTTAGTAGACACCATAGAATCCATACTGGAGAGAAACCCTTTAATTGTAATGAGTGTGGGAAAGTATTCAGTTACCACTCAGCCCTTATCATACATCAGAGAATTCACACTGGGGAGAAGCCTTATGTGTGTAAAGAATGTGGGAAAGCCTTCAGCCAAAGCTCTGCTCTAATACAGCATCAAAGAATTCATACAGGAGAAAAGCCCTATAAATGCAATGAATGTGGGAAGGCCTTCTCCTGGATTTCACGGCTTAATATACACAACAGAATCCATACAGGAGAGAAACCGTATAACTGTAAAGAATGTGGAAAAGCCTTCAGTTCCCACTCAGCAGTTAATACCCATCGGAAAATTCACACTGGTGAGAAACCTTATAAATGTAATGACTGTGAAAAAGCCTTCAACCAAAGCTCAGCCCTCATTCAGCACCAGAGAATCCACACTGGAGAGAAGCCATTTAACTGTAAAGTATGTGGGAAAGCCTTCCGACAGAGTTCATCCCTCATGACACACATGAGGATTCATACAGGAGAAAAGCCTTATAAATGTAAAGACTGTGGGAAGGCATTTAGCCAGAGCTCTTCCCTTACCAATCATCAGAGGACTCACAGTGGTGAAAAACTATAAACAAAATGCATGTGGAAAGCCGTCCAACTGAAGTTCATTCCAGAGTCAATTTCAAAAAAAAAATTCCTCCTGGGCAGAAAGTGATGAAGAGTAGTTGTGAGTTAAACTTCAGAATGTAGACCTCATCAGACATCAAAGACTTCATGATGCAGGTAACCTTAGGTGTATTAGGAAAGGTTCCATGAAATGTTTTTTTTTCACAGTTTTTAAGTTATTACTGACTATAAAGTAGAGAAAGTGTAAGGTTCTTTTATCTTCTTCCTAGTGACTTGCAGTAGGAGCTCCCCCACCCAGCTTTTGCAAGCATCACCAGGAAGCATGTGGATTTATGTAACAGTGCAGCCATAAAATCTAGACTTTAATCTGGGAATCTATTTTTTTTGAAATTATATTTGAGTGTTATGTAAGCCAGTTATCCTAAGAAGAATGTTTTGGAGAAGAAATGTAAGCAGCTGACCTGTAGCTACCTCACTGTCACTAAAATGTGTTTTTTAATAGTGTAAAGGCAAATCCTGTACTTGGTGGTTGTGAAAACTTTGGGGGGTTGTTTCTTTGCTTTCTAAGCTATTTACCTGAAAAGAAAATCACTCCATAAACTGCAGGTGTACAGTCCTGTGAGTTTTTTCCCTACTTGTTCCAACTCTGAAGCAGATCTCAAGTCACTTTATTTTAAAACACAAAATGCAGGGTGTTTCACTTGGTTTTATCATAAAATGATTACCTTTGCTGTGTTAGGTTGAGAATTAAAAGTTATTCAGACAACTACTGCTTTTGCAAGATAATCTACTGATAAATGTGAGCAGTGATCTTACAGTGTAGCCATGGAAACATGCCTCTTGGCACCGAGGCTGTGCCTGCCTCATTGAGCTCTCTCCTTACTGTCCACCAGGAAGGCCCAGGAACAGTGTGGATCACCATTTGTCCTCGCTAGAGGTAAAGTGAACCAGGTAACGTTCACTCCCTCCCTCCTGCACTCTGAGGGCCACAAGACCAATTCAGACTCTTAGTTCAGTAAATGGACTGTTACGTGCTTCAACAAGTTAGCATGTTTCAGCACTTTTAAAATGTGAATAATAATTCCAGCAACATTAAAACGTTATCTCCCAAGTCAAACTAAAATCATTGAACATGACAGAAGCAGTGACCTCTAGTTTTGTCTGGTATCAGGAGTGGGCAACCACTTAAGGACTGAAATACCTATTTTGTTTTGTTTTGTTTTGTTTTTAAAAAGTGTAAGTTCTTTCTCTTTGTCAAGGAGTTAAAAAATATACCTCTGAAAAGGTACTGTTGGGGGTGGAGACTGAGCTAAAGCAAAAATCATTGAATTCAACTTTTGTTTCCTGTTTCAGACTCGTTGGGAAGAGACTTTTCTGGGTCATGTAATTCTCCACTGCAGTGCCCCTTTCCCTACAACCATTCTTTTAAATTCTCTAGTTTCTGGGAAGATTTCTAGGAAAATATAATTTCCCTGTCTTAGTCCATTTTGGTTGCCATTAAAAAAAATACCATTAAAAAAAGTTTGGGCAGCTTATAAACCATTGAAACTTATTTCTCACAGTTCTGGAGGCTGGGAAGTCCAAGGTCCTGGTACCAGCATGGGTGTGTTCTAGTGAGGACCCTCTTGCTGGTTCCTAGCTGGTGGCTTCTTGTATCCTCACAATGGCAGAAGGAGTAAGGGAGGCTCCACCACCATCACAGCCCCTCCCAAAGGCCCCACCTCCTAATGACATCATCTTTGGGGTTAGGGTTTGAATATGAATTTGGAAGGGGCACACATTCAGACCATCACATCTCCAAGAAATAATATAGTCCTAAAGATCATTGCCCCAAATAAATCTGAATAGAGTTACACAAAGAAAATATTAGGCCCAGTTATTTTTAAGTTGAGGTCTACCAGACTTGCAAGTAACAGGGCATTTGAGTCTTATGCAGGATCTTCCAGAGGAGATAATGTACAAGCACAATGATTCCATGTAACCCAGGACCCAAATCTGATGAGGGAAGTACAAGAAAGAAAAAAATGCAGGCCTATATCATCCATGAACAAAAATGTAAAAATCCTAAACAGAGTAAATGTAATCCAGAAGTACCTCAACATAGTTAATGCGTCATAATAAATGTAGATTTTTCATGGGAATGGATGGGCTACTTGTCATTAGGAAACTTACATATGCTGTGTACCACCTGGACAGATTAAAGGTGCAAAATCCATATGTTCATCTTAATAAACGGAGACAAAGCAACCAAAATATTCAGCACCTATTCATTATAAAAACTGTTAGCCAAGCTAACAATGGAGAGAACTTACTTAACCTGGTAAAAGGTAAAAAAGAAAAAGGCAAAATATTAAAAGTAGTCACAACAGGAGGAGTTTAGAGAAAGAACAGATTATTCAATAATAATGGCTCTGAGAAAAATAGTTCATCCACATAGAAGAAATATCGGATGCTTACCCTCACCACAAAAAGAATCCTGTAAAAGGCAGAATTGTGTATTTTAGAAGATGTAAAGGATAACTATGACCTCACAATAGGGAAGGATTTTTTATACAGGTAAGCCATGAAATCTTTTTATATATTTGCTCAGATTAAAAAAAAAAAATCTGGTCATCAAAATATACCACAAAGGAAATGAAAAGTCAAGACATAAAATAGATTTTCCCACAACATTTTTGACAAATGCTTACTATTACTATCTGGAAAATTTTAAATTTGTGCAAATCAACTTGAAAAGACAACCTTGTAGGAAAAAAAAGTGGTTCAAATACATGACTACTTATTTCACAAAAGAGGAAATACAGATTTCTAAAAACATGAAAAAGATGCCTAAATGGAATTTAGGATTACAGATAGGATTTTATGAGATTTTATAAATTTTTAATAGACATTTTAATTTTTTTAGTGATGTTTATATCCAACATGGGGCTTGAACTCACAACCAAATGATCAAGAGTCACACATTTCACTAAGTTAGCCAAGCACCCCAAATTTTATTATTTTTTTTAGATGAGTAAAGACAAAGATGTGTGACATTACTGAATTTTGGAATGAATGTCGAATAACTGGAATCCATACTCTGCTAGTCAGAACAAACCATCAGCATCCTATATAGTTGAACTTGTGCATATCATAAAACACAGAAGTTCCATTCCTCTTATATAATAGATAAATGTTTGCATATGAGCAGTAAGAGACTTACATAAAGATACTCTTAAAAAAAAAGATTTGTTTATTTATTCATGAGAGACAGAGAGAGAGGCAGAGACGTGGGCAGAGGGAGAAGCAGGCTCCCTGCAAGGAGCCTGATTGGGACTCAATCCTAGATCCCAGGATCATTCCCTGAGTCAAAAGCAGATGGTCAACTGCTGAGCCACCCAGGTGTCCCTATATAAAGATATTCTTGGCAGCACTGATCATTGTAGCTAATGTTTGGAAGTAGTCTGAATGTCTCTTAATAGGAAAATCGATAGTTTTGGAATATTAACAACATAGAGCAGCAGGGAAAATGAATGAACTAAGGCTATAAGTGAAAAAGATAAATTTAACAGCCTGTTGACTTTTCAGAAGTCATAGGAAACAACATACGGTATCATAATATGTTCTGCAAAATTAAATTTATTTTAAGTGATTTATACATGTGGCCAAGATATTAAAAATAGCAGGTGATTGAATGACAAAATATTCTAGCTATCTGTTGCTGTGGAACAACATCCCCAAATTTAGTGGCTTAAAGCAACAGTTTATTAAGACTGTTGTTACCATATTTGGGTTCAGTTGGGCAATTCTTACGTGATGTCTGTAATGCATTTGCAGTCAGATGGCAGCTGCAGCTGCAGCTCACCTGAGCTTGGTGTCCAGGGTGGCAGGCACCCAGTGATTGCTGCTGAGAGTGTAGTTGGGCTTCACACAGAAAGGTGGCTGGTTTCTGAGGCAGTTTCCCAAGAGCCAACATTCTAAGTGACCTATGTAGAAGTTGCAGATCTTAAAACTCAGCTTTGGAAGTCAAATGACATTGATTTTGTATCCTCTTGGTGAAAAATTACTTATAGATGTCCAGATTCAAGGGGAGGAGATGACACAAGGGTGTGAATACTGGTTCAGTGGGAACCATATTTGGAGACTAATTACCACACGAACATAAAATTCAGGATGGTGATTGTCTTTGGCTATTAGGTAAGGAAATGACTTGGGGAGGAGCATGGGGTACCTTGGCTTGCCTGATGCCTGAAAGCCTGCCTTCTCAAGAAGAGATTGCCTGGGCCAGCCAGAATGAGGATCAGTAGGAAGACCAGTGTGTATATCAGTAAAAATGATTAAATAGAGGGTTTTTGTTTGTTTGTTTTTCCCCCCAACTCTATACTGGGTCATTTGAGGGAGGATAAAACAGATCTTTACTACTTGATCACCTGAGGTCAAATGAATATCATTTAAGAGGTTGTACCCAAGGACTATTTCAAGGTCATAATATTCTCTCTCTTTTTTTTTTAAGATTATTTATTTTCGAGTAAGGACGGGGAAGGAACCGAGAGAGAGAGGGAGACAGAATCTCAAGCTGACTCCCTACTCATTGCAGAGCCTGACTCAAGGCTCAGTCCCATGACCCTGAGATCATGACCAGAGCCAAAACCAAGTGTCAGATGCTCAACCAATTGTGCTTCTCAAAGACCTCCCAAGATCATAAAGTCCATTGTTGAATTTAAACTTGTCTTCTTAACAAAACTATCAACACCTCCCTTTCCTGTCTATACTTTGCCTTCTCATTCATCTCCCTAGATCACCAGAGGAAGAGAGATTGGCTCCTATCCCATGTCAGGAAACACACAAAAAACTAAAAAATGTGCATAAGAGGATGCTTGGGTGGTTCAGCAGTTGAGCGTCTGTCTTTGGCCCAGGGCATGATCCTGGAGTCCCAGGATCAAGTCCCACATCCGGCTCCCTTCAGGGAGCCTGCTTTTCCCTCTGCCTGTGTCTCTGCTTCTCTCTCTGTGTGTCTCATGAATAAATAAATAAAATATTTTAAAAATTTACATAAGAAAACTAGGCAAATGAAGACTTACTGAGTTGTGAACATATTCTATTTGCCTGGTTTCTCTTATTAAAGAGATTTGTTCAGAATCTAGGCAGTCCAGACATAGACTAGGCATAAGAGAATGTCAGTTTTTATGGTTTGTATTTAATAGGCCATTTTCAAAGTAACCTGAAAAAGAATATGTTTCACCTTTTAGAATATGATTGATCTGCCTGATACATTGAATTTATAATATTCATAGTTAATTAAATGACTTAAAATGTCCACTTTTTCAGGTGGGTTGGGCCCTTCTCTTGTTGGCTGTTGCATTACCAAACATGAAGAGGTCTCTGAAATGAATAGATCTTTTTTTTTTCCTAGACTGTCCCTCCATTGGCTTTGTCCAATGTTTTCCCCATGGTTAGATTTACGCTGTGCTTTTTTAGTCAGAAAATCACCAAAGCAATACTGTATTCTCAGTTCATTGTATTATTGCATTGGGAGCCTTGTGATGTTGGTAATTTTAGCTTTGTCTTTGTTAAAGTCATGCCTGCCTGGTCTTCCACTCTTTTCAGTCATTAGTACCATGAGCAGATCCTGTGAGTGTATGGATGTATATCTGTGTTAGACAAACTCAACTCTGCCACTTGCAGCATCTGTTAATGACACTTGCTTTATTATTATTACAATGGTTTCCTGATGGAGATCTCATAATTCATCATTTCTTATACTCTTATTAATTAGCTTTCCACTTTGGGGAAATATTCCAGTTTTTATGACTGGAAGCATGGCTTCTTATTCAACAGACTGTAATCTGCTAATATCGTTACGTATGTTGATGCCAAAACTGTCCCAGAGTTGGCCTCAAGAGCCCCTGCAAACTCATTTCTGGTGCCCTTTCTGTCACAAGCTTGAGACTGAATCTAAGATCTTTAAGTTACCCAGACCTACTTCTGTATATATAGCAAAATATTATTTCTTGATGTGATGCCTTGGGGGTTGGAGGAGGAATTGTGGGGTCAAAACCATTTGCGGGGATTTTTCTCTTTTTCTTGCAGGATCTTTTTTTTTTAATTTTTTTTTATTTATTTATGATAGTCACACACACAGAGAGAGAGAGAGGCAGAGACATAGGCAGAGGGAGAAGCAGGCTCCATGCACCGGGAGCCCGACGTGGGATTCAATCCCGGGTCTCCAGGATCGCGCCCTTGGCCAAAGGCAGGCGCCAAACCGCTGCGCCACCCAGGGATCCCTTTCTTGCAGGATCTTCTGTCTCCTCCTCTTTCTACTTTCCCCCTTAACACATGGTTTCTACATCCTATCCTTCCATTAACAGTATTCTCCCCATAAAGCATTACCTTCCCATGGATATCTCTTCACTTCCTGCATGTATTTAAAAAAAGAAACTGGTAAAATATATATATAACATATGATTTATCATTATAACCATTTTTAAGTGTACAATTTAGTGGCATTGAGGATATTCACAATATTTTGTAATTTTCACCCCAATCTATTTTCAGAACTTTTTGTCTCAAATAGAAGCTCTGTACCCATAAGCAGTAACACCACCATTTCCCCTGCTGCCAGCCCCTGGTCACCTGTTATTCTACTTGCTGCCTCTATGAATTTGCCTACTTTAGATTCCTGACATGGGTGGGATCATATAATATTTGTCCTTTTGTGTCTGGCTTATTTCACTTAGCATAATGTTTTCAGGGTTCGTCCATATTATAGCAGATGTCAGGATTTCCTTCCTTTTTAAGGCTAATATTCCGTTGTAAGTATCCACCACATTTTATTTATCCATTCATGTGTTGATGGATAGTTGGGTCATTTGCACATTTTGGCAATTGTGAACAGTGCTGCCAGGAACATTTGCATACAAGTGTTTGTGTAGATATTTCTCTTGGGTAAATATGTAAGAGTGGGATTGCAGAGTCATATGAAGAGTGGATATTTAACTTTGTAAGACACTGCCAAACTCTTTGCCATCGTGGCTGCACCATTTTACATTCCAATCAGCAATGTACAAAGGTTCCATTTCCAATCTGGTTAGTTCTACATCTCTGCCAAACACTTCGTATTTTCTGGCTTTTTTCCATAATAGTCATGATTTGCATTGCCCAATGACTAGTGATGTTGAACCTCTCATTTATGTTTTTTGTCCATTTTGCATCTTTTTTGAGAAATGTGTGTTTAGATCCTTTGCCCATGTTTAGAATGGGCTGTTAATGAGTTATAGGAGTTGTTTATATATTCTACATGTGCTTTGAAGCACTTATATTCCATTCTCTTCAACACTTTGGAAAATGTGTTTTATATATTTTCACACATGGAATGCACTTTCTCTTCCTGGTGGTGGTTTTATGTCCATTTTAGGAACACTACTGCCTCTTTCCTCATCCTTTATTGTATTTTTTTAAAGGATATGATGGGAGTTTTAGATTTATACCACCATCATTACCCCACCTCAAGAAACATTTTTGTTATCTTCTCAAACAACCACACATCATTTCTACCCCATTTTTATTTCTCTCTAAGTGCCTACTGTGTGCCATACCCAAGAACTTCATTTTGCTTAAGGCAGAAGAAACCCTTGTCATGCCCATGGCAAGAGGTCTAAAAGCT